TTTGTTTGTTCATTTATCTTGCTCTTTAGATTCCACATGTAAGTAAAATCATGTGATAGCTGTCTTTCTTTGACTTCCTTATTTCACTTAACACAATACTTTTTAGGTCCATCCATGCTGTAGCAAATGTTAAGATTTCACGCTTTTTTTTTTTTTTTTTTTTTTTTTTGCCAAGTATCGAATAATGTTCTATTGTGTGTGTGTCTGTGTGTGTGTGTGCTTTTTAATCTCCTTGTCTATGAATGGGTATGTGGGTTGCTCCCATGACTATCATAAATAATGCTGCAATGAACGTAAGGGTGCATATATTCTTTGAATTAGTCTTTTGGGTTTCTTCAGATATATACCCAGAAATGGAATTGTTTGGTCATTAGGTAGTTTCCATTTGAGGAAACTCCACACTGTTTTCCACAGTGGCTGCACCAATCTGCATTCCCACCAACAGTGCACAGTTCTGTTTTCTCAACATCCTTAACCACTGCTTGTTTGATGTATTGATGGTAGCCATTCTCACAGGTGTGAAGTGATATCTCATTGTGGTTTTAATTTGCATTTCTCTGATTAGTAACATTGAGTATCTTTTCATGTCTATTGGCCATTTGTATATCTACTTTGGAGACGTGTCCATTTAGGTCCTCTGTCCATTTCTTCATTAGATTTCTTTTTTCTCCTCTTTTTTTGAGTGTTGAGTTATATAAATTCTTCATAAATTTTTCTTACTAACCCCTTATCAGATGTGACTGAGATTTTTCTCCTACATTCTACACAGATATTTTGTCATCATCACCACTGTTTCCTGTCAGAGAACTATGATTTCAGGAAAATGAAAATAGTTTCTTTTCTGAAAGAGAGCCTAGAAGCAGATTCTTTTTTCTCTAAAGCAGTGGGCTTTACCACAAAGATACAGACTTGAAAAATTTTAATAAAGCACAACAAATGCTACCAGGCTGGTGGAGCTCAGTGGTTGAGCATGGACTTAAAAACCAGGAGATCACAGTTTGATTCCCCAGTCAGGGTACATGCTGAGTTATAGGGCGTGCAGGAGGCAACCAATCGATGATTCTCTCTCATCACTGATATTTCTCTCTCCCTCTCCCTTCCTCTCTCAAACAATAAAAATATATAATTAAAAATAAACTTAAATGCTGCCTCTAGTCCTCCTGATTCTCATGAGTTGTAGTGGGATAGAGAGAAAAGAATCTGTTTTCCAAGTGGGAAGTTAAGGGTTATGCCTTATCATCATTTGAGGCAGCGTTCAGAATAAGGAGGGTAGAATCATGCTGACAGCCTTTGGGGCCTCAGTACACGAGCCCCTTTTCATCAGTTCAGAGGAAGGAGTGGCTTCTCTCAGCAGGTCTCAAGAGAAACATTTAACAGCACAGATTCTATGTCTGTCCTGTTGTCTCAAGATAGCCTGGAAAAGATTATCGAGGCCTTCATTTTAGGTGGCCAGTTAGGTTGTAGTCTTTTCACATTCATTCATGGCAAGGATGTTTAAGTACATTGGATGTTTTGGTATAAGGTAGTAACCTATCAGCTCTTTAGTGTCAAATGTCACATTAGTGCCTACATTTAAACCACTATATTATAATCAAGTTTCAATAGCCAGCTTTATACCTAAGACTTTTTTTTTTTTACCACTTTTAGGGATCAAGCCAATCAAAGGGCAAGATATAACTGGAAAATGTAGTGCAACTTAGCCAAGTTTAAATATCAAGAAGCCATCACACAACATCAGCCAATATATTGGTATGAGACATGTGTTCCCTTCCTTTTCCTTCCTCCATGTGCCAATAAACCAGGGGAGCTAGAGCCTAGAAGAGAGATATGGAGGAAGTGTCCCAGAGGCAGACCATATTGCTCTCCCAACACTCTCCAAAGGGAGGGGAGGGGAGGAGTAAAATAACAGGCCACATCCTCTCCCTATTCATGGCCTTGGAGGTATAAATCTGGCATACAGTAGGGAAGGGAAAAGCTCTGAATGGATATATCATAATTTTAACAATGGACAGCAAGTGGGAAGTTATATGATCTGAAATATCATTAAGATACTGGATGACTAGCAAGGAAAGGAGATTTAATACAGCAAGTTTGGGTCCAATGACTGGAGATAAAACCCTACTGAGCGGAGACAACTAAATAACAAAATGATTAGATTACAAAAATTAGAAGAACTAATGCAGATACTAAACAAAGAAGAAAAATAAGTGACTAGAGTGATTAGGGAAGGCTTATTTCTGAAAGGCAGATTGGGACTGAACCTTCATAAAAGATGAAAATTATTTAGAAAGTTGGAGCAGAGGGGAAACTATTGAGAATAAAGACTTAGAGAAATGATATGTATATGGGGAGTGAGGAAAGAGAGAACAATGGATTAAAGCATGTGTATTAAGAAACTAAGTATTGATAGGAGCTACACTAGATAGGGACTTGAAAACCAGGCAGAGGAATAGAGAATGGGGAAGCTGAAGATAAGTTTTTGTTTTGAGTCTTTTAAAGACAGATTAATATAATAGTGGTATAATACAGATGTATTCTGGGGGAGAAGGATTGAGATTCAAGGCGGCTAGTTAGGATGCTATTGCAATATTCTAGATAGGAATTAGCAATAACAAAAACAGAATCAAAACAGAACAAAACAGAAATGTAAAATGGAATTGAAGAAAGGAAAATATTTGAAAGACAAAAGATAGCCCAGCCAGTGTGGTTAAGTGTCAACCTCTGAACCAGGAGGTTACAGTTTGATTCCTGGTCAGGGCACATGTCCGGGTTGCAGGCTCGATCCCCAGTGTGGAGTGGGCAAGAGGCAGCTGATCAATGGTTCTCTCTCATCATTGATGTTTCTATATCTCTAGCCTTCTCCCTTTCATTTTGAAATCAATAAAAATATATTTTTAAAAAAGACAAGAGTGATGACTAAATGGAAGTATGGTGCCAGAAAGAATAATTCAGAGTATTCCTTTCTTTCTATCTTGTGGAACTGGAAAATGGTGGTATTACAAACATGAGTGAGGAGACCATGACCATTAATTCAATTTGTGATTATTGAAATTGAAGTCATGATTTTTTGTTATTGTTAATCCTTATCCCAGGATATATTTTTCCATTGATATTTTTAGAGATAATAGAAGGGGAATGGGGACAGACACAGAGATAGAAACATTGATGACAGAGGCATCAACAGGTTGCCTCATACAATTTCTCATACACCCCAACTGGGGCCAACTGGGGCCTGTAACCGAGGTACATACCCTTGACTAGACTGGAACCCATGACCCTTCAGTCTGCAGGACGACATCCTAACCACTTAACCAAACAGGCTAGGGCTGAAGTCATAATTTGAAGAGGAAATGTCCTGATACAAATTGGAAAAAAGTATCAGATTAATGTGATAGGAATATGCACTAAAGACTGCAAATGGAAGGTACAGGCTGAGAAACTGAAAGACCTGGAGGCATATGTGGTGTTTTTTAAATAAGTTCTTCCAACTGAAGGTGATGTCCTTCAGAAGAGAAAGGAATAAATAGGAATAGAGCAGTTGGCTATCCAGATGGTGTCAAAGAATAAAATAGGATTTGATATCTGGACCATGGTTTAAGACTTGGAACTGATGAGTTTTTGGCAAGGAATAGGAAATATATCATGAGGACAAAAAAAAAAAAAAATGAGGTTTCTTTCTTTCTTTCTTTCTTTCTTTCTTTCTTTCTTTTTTTTTTTTTTTTTTTAGAGGGGAGAGGAGGAATCATTTGAAAAGAAATTGTTCTTGGATGGATGGATAATGAAAGAGAGCTGAATGAACAAACAGGTGTTTTTTAAAAATACATATTTAATTTATTTCAGAGAGGGACAGAGCGATAGAAACATCCATGACGAGAAAGAATCACTGATCAGCTGATTTCTGCACACCCACACTGGGGACTGAGCCCTCAACCCAGGCATATGCCTTGACCAGGAATCAAACTGTGACTTCCTGGTTCAAAGGCCGATGCTCAATCACTGACCCAAACTGGCTAGGCCAAACACAAGTTAAGAAAAGAATAACATTGTAAAAGATATCCAGTGTTTCAAAAGAGTTAATTATAGAAGAAAGGAAACTGAACTTATTGTTAACATTTGTTGAGTTTACAGTATGTTAGCACTGTGGAAAAATTTTTATATGAATTAATCTCATATAATCCTTACAAGAAACTTAACTTTTTCCCACTCAACAATGTGTCATGGACATCTTTTCATGTCAGTAAAAATCTGCATTGTTGTTTTTAATGCATAAATAGCATAGTGTTTCATTGTATGAAGTAAATCCAGTAAAATCTCAGTTAAGAAACATATTGTCCAAATGGTCATCAGGAAGGTTTTACACCAACAATGTATGAATGTCACTAAATCCGTTTTATTTTTTAATTTCTTTGTATCCATACATCTGAAAAATGTATGAAAAGCCTAGAATAGATGTTTAAAAAATCACTATAATTTGTAATACAAGGCGAATTCTGGTATTATACATAAGTGATTTTACAAAAGACTTAGACTTATCTACCCACAATTTATAATATAAACACATGAACATAATGAGAAGGAAAGTTCTGATTGAGGTTATGTTTTTCCTATTGGATGGGTAGCCACACAGGTAGGAATGAAAAGATGGAAAAACATCAGTTGTCAGTGATGTAAAGATATGAAATAGAGCTGAATGAGTCAAGGAACAAGCAGAATGAGAAACAGGGGCAGACTTAAGATGAGAAAAAGGTGGATCATTTCATTGGGACTCATACATCTGATAAGCCATATTCCAATTATCTCTTCCTGTTACTTAAAAAGAAAAACTCCTGGGAGACATCTGTAATACTGTTAACAATAAAAACATATACATATTAGTAAAAGAACTGTTACAAACTCAGTCTATTATTGAATTGGTATATATAATAGAAATTAAAACTAAATTTCAATTGAATATGTACATTTGTCTTTTTTTTTCTTCTTAAATAGAATTACCTGAAGAAATGGATACTCCTTCCAAGAAATATCCAGTTAAAAAACGGGTGAAAATACATCCTAACACAGTGACGGTGAAATACACTTCTCATTTTCCCCAGCCTGGGGATGATGGATATGAAGAAATTAATGAAGATTATGGAAATTTTATGGAAGAAAATCCAAAGAAAGGCCTGTTGAGTGAAATGAAAAGAAAAGGAAGAACTTTTTTTGGAACCATGGATACCCGACCTCCACCAACAGAAGACCCCATGACAAATGAGATTGGACAATTCCAAAGCTTTGCAGAAAAAAACATTTTTCAATCCAGGAAAACATGGATTGTGCTGTTTGGATCTGCTTTGGCTCATGGATGTGTAGCTCTTTTCACTAGGCTTGTTTCTGATCGTTCTAAAGTTCCATCTCTAGAACTGATTTTTATCCGTTCTGTCTTGCAGGTCTTATCTGTGTTAGTTGTGTGTTACTACAAGGAGGCCCCCTTTGGACCCAGTGGATACAGAGTACGACTCTTCTTTTATGGTATATGCAACGTCATCTCTATCACCTGTGCTTACACATCGTTCTCTATAGTTCCTCCCAGCAATGGGACCACTATGTGGAGAGCCACAACTACAGTCTTCAGTGCCATTTTGGCTTTTTTACTTGTAGATGAGAAAATGGCTTATATTGACATGGCTACAGTTATTTGTAGCATCTTAGGTGTTTGTCTTGTCATGATCCCCAACATAGTTAATGAAGAAAATTCCTTGTTAAATGCTTGGAAAGAAGCGTTTGGATATACTATGACTGTGATGGCTGGGCTGACCACTGCTCTTTCCATGATAGTATACAGATCCATTAAGGAGAAGATCAGCATGTGGACTGCACTGTTTACCTTTGGTTGGACTGGGACAGTCTGGGGAATATCTACTATGTTCATTCTTCAAGAGCCCATTATTCCCTTAGATGTAGAAACCTGGAGTTATCTCATGGCTATTTGCGTGTGTTCTACGGCAGCATTCTTAGGAGTTTATTATGCCTTGGACAAATTCCATCCAGCTTTGGTCAGCACAGTACAACATTTGGAGATTGTGGTAGCAATGGTCTTGCAGCTTCTAGTGTTACACATATTTCCTAGTGTCTATGATGTCTTTGGAGGGATAATCATTATGACTAGTGTTTTTGTCCTTGCTGGCTATAAACTTTACTGGAGGACTTTAAGAAGGCAGGATTACCAGGAAATAGTAGACTCTCCCATTAAATGAATACCTGATTATTATTTTCTTAACCATTAACTGTTATTAATATGTACACTGCCATTTTAATATTCAGCTATTTTTTTGTGTTGTATAATTGACAGAGTGCTATGTAATATTTAATTCACATATGCAGATATAGAAACTATATTCTAGTCTATTATATTAAAAAACAAACATGAAATATATGAAATGTCATGAACCCTTGTCTTTATTGTTATTAACAAAAGGTAATTGTAGTAGAAGGAGAATGTTAACTTTCATTACTGAAGAATGTAGACTTGAAGAAATGACCCCTTTCAGATGGAACTTGTGGTCCTAAAGTTCAAAGATTAGAAAAATGTCATGCCCAATGTTTTACAAATGTTCAACAAAAATCCTTCAATATTAAAAAAATTGGCATTTGTGAAAAGTGCACCATAAGGTGAAATGCTGAACACTAACCTCTGATAAGTCATTTACTCGCATTAGAAAACTAGAGGTGATTGGGTTGGGCAAGGAAGCTTGAGTTAAGGGAAGAAGAGGGAACAAAAGAAAAGAACTGATTTTTCCATGACAATGGTGCCTACCCTACCTTAGAACAGGAAGTTGGTCTTCCTCTTTCAATGGCCACATTAGACAATTCATAGGAAATGGAGGTAGGGAGAAGACTGGATTCTTGCCAGTTCTACTTAGTCTAGCTATTTTTTTGTTTTGTTTTCCTGATGGTGGGAGGCCTAATGTTGGGGCAAGTTCTGCTTATCCCCAGTTCCAAAATTGCCCTTGTTTAGATTCTGTAGCCAGTACATGTATAGTTCAGTAAAGGTACTCCTTAGTACTGAAAGACACTAGCCGTAATACAGTATAGCAGAAAATTGATACAACATGGTGTTTTCAGATTCTTTTTAAAAGGGCCTAAAAGTCTGTAAAAGCATATAAGGTGGTATTAATTTGGGAAATTTTTACAAATTTAGCATAAACTAATGTTGATATGGTACTAGTTATTTATCTATTGTTATTGTTATTGAAATATCTTAGCTCCAAATTCACTTTTCTATACTTTCTCTATGAACTATTGCTCAGACTCTACATACTACATTTAGAAATGTTAGCTGATGCCTCACGAGGTTCCACCAATAAAGGCCTTTAGAGGATACTGGAAGTCAGCAGGGACAAAGGACTTCCTACTTTCCATTTGTTTGCAGTTTCTGGCATTGTTACCTCAGCAATAAGCAATGAACCCTTGATCAATAACTGATTTTAGCCTTCAGTTTCTTTTGGGACACCTCTAACCCCAACCAGCCTCATCATATCCCTCTGCAGGGCCAGATGGACAGATTCTCTCAGTGATTAAAGCTACAGTTCTGCTGGATTATTCCTCTAAGATTCTGAGACCTGATAGTCCAACCTCAATTCCTTTTTTTTTTTTTTTTTTTTTTTTTTTTAACTATTATAGATTTAGAGGAGGTAGCTATGCTCTATAATTATCACCTGTGGGATACTTCAGTGTTCCCTTTTTGCTTTTTCAGTCCACCTGTTACCAGTGAAGCTGGGCTGCGTGGACTCAACAAGTTACAGAGGCAAAAGAAGGGCCCTTGGAGACAGGTTCAGAGGGTTAGCCCAGGACAGGCTGCTACTGCCCGCTGCTTCCTTGGTTGCAGGTCTTGTGGGGATCCTTATGGGATTAGGAGAAAGAAAGCAACGATTCATGCCTGAATAAAGAAGGCATGTGCATGCTCTAACAAGAGAGCCCACACACTGGGTCCCTTGTCTTAAAGGGGTTTTGTTTATTTTATAAAATCTGGAATTTTAAGGGAGGTCTTGGGAGGATCTCAATAGAATATTCAGTTTTCCAAGTGTGTCTTTTAATATGCTGATGCATCAAAATGAGCATATAGGTCATTTTCTGGTCAGTTTCACCTTCAAAGAATGTCACCTAAAAGGGACTAAGATCAAGGTAGTTCTGGGTCTGCCCCAACAAGGTCTGGAATGTGTAAGATAAGACCTAGTGATTAGTTATCTGGCTATCCCGTATATTGCTGGGCCGGTTTGTCCAGTTATCTATCTGTTTTCCCATTGCACTTGCAAAGGAACTTTACTAATTTTTTATTATCCTGCCTCTCACCAACATCCAGTGTTAAATTCTCTCTGTTGTAATATTTTGTGATTTATATTTTTTATTTTCTTCACTAATGTGTCTCTAAACCTTCCCCAAATAAACCCATAGTTATTAGCAGGGTGTCTGTGTTTTTGGGAAAATGTCAACATTCAGGTTTTCCAAGAATTACTAGACACTGGCTCTAAAAAAAAAAAATTACCCAGACCAAAACATAGAAAGAAAAAGACTTGGAAAAAAATGAACAGAGTCTGGAATCACATGTATTAAGGACTAAGAAGTTTAGCATAAGTATAGTCTCAGAAGAGCAGAGAGAAATGGGGCAGAAAAAAATACTTTAAGCAATATTTGGCCAAAAGTTTTCCAAATTTGACAAAGGAGAAAACAGCAATAACCACCAGCAATTCACAGAAACAAAGATAAGTGAACTAAAGCAGGATAAATACAAAGAAAACCACACCTAGTAACATAGTGTAAATGATGATAAACAAAGATTTTAAAAAACAAAGTCTTAAAATGCAGCCAAAAAAAAAAAAAAGAAAAAAAAGAAGAAAAAAAAAGACACTCAGGAAAATAATGATAAGAATTACAGCTGGTTTCTCATCAGAAACAATGAGGCCAGAAAACAACAGAATGACAGGTTAAGCTGCTAAAAGAAACCCTTTAATGGCTTCTCATTGTCCAGCAAGCTCTCTGGACTCTACAGAAGAAAGTTTAAGGTCCTTAACTTCAACAACCCAATATTGCTTACATTTCCAGTCATCTTCTGCTCCAGCAAAATTCTACTATTGTGTAATAGCATTTTTATGCAGACTCCTCTCTATAAAAAGCCCTTCTTTTTTGCCTACTTAATTGCCTGACTATCCTGACCACACAACTTCCCTTCCACTGTGGCTTAATGTTCCTCTGTACATAATATTGCTGTACTTACTATATTAATAATAAGTATCTGTTTAAATTTCATTCTCTGGCACTGGATTGAACTCCTTTAAGTTTAAGACTGATCTTTAGATCTTAAGCACTTATTGAAGTGCCTATTACAGAGTGGACTCAAAACATTTTTGTTGAATTAATTCCCATAAAAGCATAGCAATACTCAATCCAGAAATTTAGTTCCCAGGGTCCACTAGTTTCTATACCTCACAGTTGAGCCTGTGATTGGTTACTTCTTGATTAGTAGGTCTTTTTGGTCCTAAAGAGCCCTGGCTAATGATGCTAAAACAGATCATGCTCTCAAATCAATTCGAGCTATCAATAGTTTCCTGGGAAAGACCTTGAGACATGGAGGCTCATTTTTTTCCTTCCTTCTTTTCCTATATCCTTTCTTTGGAGTTAATGCAAGCTTTTATCTTAGACAGATTAGCTACTCATCAAAAGCTCCATTTCCAGTCCTTAGGTCTTTAAGTTCTGACCTAAATTTTGTCATTTTATTCTACCTAGACCCTGGTCCACTCAGCACTAATTAGCAATGGTGATTACCGTTTTTGGTTTGAGTTCTGCTAAAAGAAGTAACATGCATGTTTATGTTTGGAAGTTGGGGAGACATTGTGCGAAAGGAAGCCTCTGGAATATCTCCTACCCCATAAGAACTTGGACTCTATTCCTGTTAACTACACCATACTACAATTTGATACATTACTTTTTGCCTATATACCATTCCTCTTTCATCTCTCTTTCCTTACTTTTAATTTCTCTTTTTCACTTAAAAAATATTTTTTATTGATTTCAGAGAGGAAGGGACAGGGAGAGAGAGAGATAGAAACATCAATGATGAGAGATAATCATTGATTGGCTGCCTCCAGCATGCTCCACACTGGGGATCGAGCCCACAACCCAAGCATGTGCCCTGTCCGGGAATTGAACAGTGATCTCCTGGTTCATACGTCAATGCTCAACCACTGAGCCATGCTGGCTGGGCTTAGGTATAACTTTTTATTTTAACAAGTCTTAAATAAAAGAACTATTTGGTCTTTCAGACTTTTTGCTGCTAATTCTCACTAGAGGATATTTTTCCATGGATTTTTTAGAGTGAGTGGAAGGGAGGAGAAAGACAGAATGAGGAACATCAATATGGGAGACACACATTGACTGGTTACCTCCTGCACCCACCCAGACTGATGCTGACTGTGCTGGGGATCAATCATGCAACCCAGGTACCTGCCCCTAGATGGCAATGGAACCTGAGACCCTTCAGCCTGTGGACTGATGGTCCAACCACTGAGCTAACCCCACCAGGACTCTTTTAGACTTCTTTAAGTGAGATTAGTTTATTTTTGAAATCAATAAAAATATATATTTAAAAAAACCCCACAGGTTTACAAGGAACTAAAACACTTTAAAATCCCTCAATTCTTCTATTGCTTAAACAGGTGGCACACGGTTGTCAAGAAATCTGCAGTCTTATGAAGGGTCAGTTCTGATTGTTGGGCAATTCAAACTATATGTTCCTTTTCAAAATAAAAATTAAACTTATGACTTAAGCATATTTTTTTCTGGGCTTATTTTCCCCACTTAAGGTAGGCGGCATAAGCTACCTGATGGCAAGAATTACTTGACCTATTGTACTTGTATTCACATCCCCCTGCCCCTAACCCATGTTAAATGTGTAACTAGTATTGAATTGAGCGAGGTTTTCCTAACAGTTCGCACTGTGATTTTGGATAAATAATTTTAACTTCTGGAGAATGGTTTCTCCAGCTTCAAAAATGAGTGTAACACACCTCCGATCATAAACTTTATAAAATGTATCAATAAAAGGGTTGTATTAGTTAGCTCAGGCTGCCATAACAAAAATACCACAGAGTGGGGGGTTCAATAAATACAAATGTCTTGCAGTTCTGCAGGCTTAGTTCCACACCAGGGTGCCAGCATGATCAGCTTCTGGTGAGACTTCTCTGTCTTGTACATGGCTGTC